CACCACCTTGCAAGCCAAGTTCTGGACTTCAAAATCATCCTCCGGGTCCTCCTCAAGGATCGGCCTCCTCCTCTGGGAATCAGTCACCACATTATTCACCGCCCTGATGTTATCTTTCCCCCGCAACCGAGTTGCTCGGATCTTTTTTCCCTCTCGAGTATGAGGCGCTCGAGCTCGAGCGTTTCCTCCCATCGGCTGACAGTCCGGTTGTGCATGCATCGCTCGACATACACCCTTCCCAGCTCAAACTCTAGGGGATCTCGCAACGTGGAACCCACGCAGAGTGCTTCTCACAAAAGCCTTGTGACCTGTACCCAGCATCAAAGCATCTCTCCCGCCTTATTCCCAGTCATCTCGTCGCGGTTGTTGGGCCAGATCGGATCCAGCTTCTCACAAGCAAGCTCCCGATCCTCCCTTTCCTGGAGCATAGGGCGAGCAACATCCCTTTGAGCCCCAGTCGCTTCTCGAATTGCCTTGTTCACCCAGACCGACTTCGGGGCACCATCAAAGGCTTGAACAGGCTCATCTACCTCATAGATTCTCCATCCCGGTTTCTTTGCGATCATATGGGGTCCAAATTTTTCTTTCCTAGTCGGGGGATAATACAGGCATTCACGTAACAAATGTCCCAATCTCCCGCAGTGGAAGCAAAAACTAGGCAAGAACTCATATTTGAGCGAGACCCAAAACCCTCCAATATCCTCGCTAGGCGCAAAGAGTTGAGACCTCAATGGCTTAGCGAAATCAACCAGGGCGCGAACCTTCACAAAATACTTCGAAGTCTCTTTGCTGGCGAAAACACCAGCTTCCAGGACCTGCCCAATAGTTGGGGCTATCAATTTTTGGCTGAACTGTTTAGTGCAACAGTCGTCCTTAACCCCCCAGAGTTGGATGCGGAAAGGTGCGATGGCCAAATCATCAAAAGTCGTTTTGGTGACAGTTGGTGTCCATGATCGCAGGTTGATGAGAGTATCCCTAACGACCCAGGGGGTACGTTTCAACACCCAGATTTTGGACTCTTCAATCGGTAGAACGAACTCAAACAGGCCATGCTTTGCCTGAGAGACTCGAATTTGGCCCCGCCCTTGCCAATGAGCATTCACAGCATCACAGAGCTCCATGATTGGAACGACAACTTCATTGAACACCCTACCCAGCAGAGTTCGGGTAGAGCGAAATCGCACAGACTGAACGTCCTCTAAGGAGAACTGGACAACTTGGTCCTCCGTGATATGGGCCATTTTGGCAACCTGAAAAAAATTCGATGAATGGGGGCAAGTCACGTTAGCTTGCGGTGAGCATCCACTAACTTCAAGAGCTTGCGATAACAAGCCCACCAAAGACGCATCCCAGGAAGGACAAGGCACTACAGGAAGGAAAATCAACGAGGATGACCCAAAGGGAGGGAGGGCACCAAGCAGTCCCATACCTGAGTTTCTTCTGGCGTCGGGTTGTGGCAAAGAAGTCGTAGCAGCAGAGCTTCTGATCACCACTGGCAATCACGTCCTTGGTAGGGGAAGAGTCGCTGCCTGGGTTTTCTTTTATAAGAGAATTTTAACCCAACTAGCCCACAAACCAACGTACCAGAAAAACCTAGCCCTAAAAGAGTTAGAGAAGGGCTAGGAGTTTTAATTTGAAAAATAATACGATTTTTATGCTGCATTTTGCTTTGGCAGTTAGCCAAAAGATCAAAAGTAATCTTTTCCCCATGGATTACGAGATCTGGCCGTGGGAAGGGAATCTCACCAGGAGAACCCTTGTTCTCCTCCCAACGTAATCATGCCTCACCGCCGACGATGTAGCCGATCAGGATTGACCTATCAACCATATCCGGAGGCACCGGCGACCAAACTGACAACCTATCGTCTTTTCCTATTCCATGATCACGTACCATCGATCCTGCGACAGTCATGCAAATGGATGGAGTCTCTTCATTCTCCAAATCAGACGATGACGGTAGGCAAAATCGCCAGCCCTTCATCTTTGAACATCTGGGGTTTTTGGGGAGCATCCAGCTCTCACCATCACCACCAGTAGTTTTACGTTTGCGACTACTGCGAACAAGATTTGTATTGCGTAGCATACCACGAAGGACTCGCTTAACTCCACGATCCATTCTCGTGAGCTCTCGAGGGGGACGCCGGCGTTCCGCCGACGTGGGTACCGATCCGCTAGGATCCCAGGATTCCCCTTTCTCCCAATTCTCTCCATCCGACTACTGGTTCAGTAAGCTAGCGCAGAAGACAGCCACCACTACTCGGGGGAGGAGTCGACCGAGCCAATTTCCCAGCTTGAAGAGAGAGGACATAGCATCTCTCTTTTTTTTTGTCAAATGATACCGACTTTCGATTCCTCTCTAAAATATTGTAGTTAACGTGTTTCGAACCCTCGTTCTCATGGCTAATTTCCCAGCCTAGATGTATAAATACGTATGTAACAGAAATTGTTGAAGCTAAGCTGAGTAAGAGGATAAACTAGCTTCGGCCGTGGACTAGTCTCGTTCATACAAAACGAGAAAACCACGTAAATCTGTGTGTTGATTACTGTTTCTATTTTATTTTATTAGGCAAATGAGTTGGCAATTTTAAGGATTAAATTTGATTTTGTTTATTATTTTTTATTAGACACGTCACTCAATTAACGGTAAACTTTTTGAGTTGACTTCTACATCATATAAAGTTAACAGAGCTGGACGGTGGACGGAGAATGACCAAATTTGATACAATTGCCTAATCTTAGTGACAACGAATGGAATTAAATATTTTTAATGACCAAACATGAACTTTTTTAGTAAACCCAGTGACCAACCTTGTCATTTACCCAAATAAACATATTGAATTCACACCTTTCAATCTGTTTTGTTTCTCACCAATTTCCGAACATATCAGGGGCGGACCCAGGGGGTTTTAGGGGTGTCCCCGGACACCCTTAAATTTTGGCAATACGATTATCCAACTCCCGGTGGTAATTTACGTATGGACAAAAAAAAAATTGATAGTGAGGGACACCCCTGAAATTTGAAAACATGATTATCCTACTGTCATTTGTGTATAGGAATATAAGTGGTAGATTGGATAATTCAAATCTAGAACACTATTCTTATTAATAAACTTAATTTTCGTTGACCTACAACTCATTTGTTGTTCGATTTTGAAAAATATAATAGTAAAATGTCATTTTCTATCTCTAATTATTTTAAAAACCTAACAATTAAACTAATTTCAAGCTACCCTTAATACGGCAAGTGTTGAAAGAGTCTTTCAGCTTTGGGTTACATCGAGAACAAGTTTACAAATCGAATATGCAATAACTTCGTGAATGATTGTCTAGTAGGGTATATAGAGACAAATTTTTTTAACACTATAGACACCAAGTGTATTCTACAATTATTTCCGAATATGAAAACAAATCATGGACTTTTTTAACCTGTACGAGTAAGGTATTTTCAAATTTATGATTTTATTTTTATTAATTATTAATTATTTAATTTATTTTTAAAAGAGGACACCCTATAAAAAATTTCTGGGTCCGCCACTGAACATATCCAAATGAGAGAAATGTCTCTCATCTCCATGCTCACAAGTCATAAGTTGTAACGGAGCCAAACCCGATTGGGTTACAAGTAGGGATGGCAATGGGTCGGGTTGGGTCGGGTTTTGCCAAACCCAAACCCAAACCCATGGGTTTATCTTTGAAAAAAACCCGGGGTAAAACCCACTGGGTTTGAAAAACTCAAACCCAACCCAACCCGTTGGGTATCCGCGGGTTCATGGGTACCCACGGGTTTTGTCGTAAAAAATTTACTATTACAAGTTCTTATCAAAATTAAAGTCAAATATCAATCTCTCAATACAAATTATCCATATATAAAACACCATTCTAGAAAATTCAAGCAAATCACAAATTAACTATACAAATTGTTCAAGACCAATCTAGAAAACTCAAGAAAATTGAAGCAAATAAAAAATTATCCATAAATAACATGTTTAATTGAAAGCTTCTTCCTTTCAATTAAATTTTGTTCTCTCCACTCCATAACAACAACTTCATTCTACACAATTAAAAAAAAAAAAATAGACATGTCTCCACAAACATAAATAAGATTAATTGTTTAGAATATTAAATATACAAAAAAAATTAATTATATGGATGGGCGGGTACCCACGGGCCGGGTTTACCTAAACCCAAACCCAACCCAACCCGGTGAATAGTGAACGGGTTTAAACCCAAACCCGGCCCAAAACCCGTCAACACGGATTTTACCCGCGTTGACCGGGTTGGGTCGGATGGGTACCCGTGGGTTCGAGTTTTGTTGTCATCCCTAGTTACAAGCCGTTTATCCTCTTCTATCCTCCTGCATCAGATGCTTTTTGGTTAATATTTTATATAGTAAAAATTTCCAGGACAGCTGAGTGAGTTGCATTTTATGCCTTCTTCAACAAGTATATGCGTTGTACTATGCTTCTAGTTAACCTGTGCTATTGTCATACTCACCATAGAAAGCTATCTGCCGGCCAAGCTATTGTCCTCATTAGCTTTGCATTTATGCCTACGGCTTACCAGGCTTTGTTTGTTCCGATTTGTAACGTCGAGTACAACTCATAAGTAACTTCCGCCAAACGGTTTTTACTTATGGCCGATGAAACGGTATGGGAAAACTTAGCGGCAGCAGTAGGGTATTTTATCGCAATACCATGGTTTAATTATAGTTCGACCATTAATACCGTTAAGTACCGTTTACTAATTTAATCTTCGATACTAGTATTTTATGTTTGAATCAATGTTACCACGATATTGTTGGTATTTTGTGTTTGAATCACTGTTACCACGATACTGTTTCATAGACCATGATTTTACTAGCCGAAAATAAAATAGACCTCGTGGTAGGTGCTAAAAAAAAGTTGCCAGCAGAAGAGCTAAATGGGAAAACAATGCACCGGCCGAACTTCTATAAATAGCAACCTCACCTAGATAGGCGCAAACATTTTAAAAAATTAAAATACACGTTTCGGTTTAATCCTCAGCCTCGCCGCGAGACTTTCGGTCACCGCACAAGAGCAGGCGGGAAGCCGAGTCCAGGAAGAAAGGGGAATGGAGATCAGACCTGGTCTATCAGCTCTGGTCACCGGCGCTGCCTCTGGAATCGGTAAGTTCGACAAACTTCTCTCGCCGGAGTGAAAACCAGCTCCAAAGTTGACCGGCCGAATTTCTTCGTCGCTTCGCTTCGGCTGTTACTAATCGGATTGCGGTGCGATCGATAATTTCGTCAAATTTTTGGGGACGATGAATCAGTTTCCTGTCTAGTGTTTTCAGAAATGGAGTCTGCTTGCTATATTCTATTCATAATTTTCCTCTTGAGCTGCTGAAACTGTTCAACTAATTGGTGTTTTCATCAGAGGCGGATTGATGGCCGCTGTCTTTAAAATATATACTACTAATGTTTGTTTGGTTCTCTAATATGTACTTGGTGCTGGTTTGGATGCAGGCAAGGCGCTGAGTTTAGCTCTGGCGGGGAAGGGGGTATTTGTCACAGTGGTTGATTTATCTGAAGAAAGAGGGAAGGAAGTTGTATCCCTTATCCAGAAAGAGCATGCCAAGTTTCATTCCAAGTTGGATTTCCCATCAACTCTCTTTGTGAGATGTGATGTATCAAATTCAAGTAAGTTTGGCTACAATAACTAGCACTATGCGGAGAGGTGTTCTGGTGCAGTTACATATGTTATTTTGCCCACTTAACCCCCCAAAACTGTATCTGGTGGTGGCTACTTGCAGAAGAATTAGCTGCTGCTTTTGACAAGCATGTTGCGATCTATGGAGGGTTGGATATTTGTATTAGCTGTGCTGGCATTGGCAATCCCATACCATTCCAAAAGGATCAAACGGACGGCACTAAATCGTGGAAGCTTGCTCTTAATGTGAACCTATCTGCTGTAGTTGACAGCACTCGCCTTGCGGTATGCCTGCCTTTCTGTTGCTCACTTAGTGACTGTCCTACGTTTGTTGATTGCTGCTAATGCTATAATAATAGATGTGTGGGTGTTGGAAATTTTACCATTGTCAAGACACCACTTGTCTGTTGCAGCACCAGCGTAGTCGAACTTGGCAATTGATTGTTCATCCATTAGCTTCTCTCAAATTTCTACTTGAATCAGCTCATTGTTGCATGGAAATGGTCAATGTTATTCTTACTTTCTTATTAAAAAGCCAAAGATTCTAAGTTCCCGCATGCATCTGTTGGTAAGGGCGTCTTTCGCTTTCTTCATAGCAAAGTTTCTGATACTTGCTTCTTATGAGTGAATGTGCTGCATCGTAGACTAGAGGCCTCCATGAGGAGGGTAACTTTTTTACCAGTTCGCAGATGAAACTATCTTTAAAGATGCCCTGAATTGTCTTAGTGACCGTAGCACTGATGAGTCCTCGTTGACTGCTACTATGTGTGTACTTCATCTGAACAGATTAAAGCTATGGAAGCCACAAGAAAACCTGGAGTCATTATAAATCTGGGGTCTGCTTCAGGTCTTTATCCAATGTATAACGATCCTATCTACTCTGGCTCCAAAGGTGTGATAGCATCTACCTGTGTCGTTAACATTTCTTTCCAAGCTTCTCTTTATTACTTGAAGGAATCGAAGTGCTTGGACATCCTTCTTCAGATTCTTTTGTATGAGTACCTTCCTACTTCAGATTGTTTCGTACTTACAGGACTTTTTCCCCAGGTGGTGTTGTCATGTTTACCAGGTCGCTTGTTCCATATAAACGCAAAGGTATCCGCATCAATGTGCTTTGTCCCGAGGTAAGAGCTGCACTAGAGGGGGACATTTACAAATAACAATAATATTATATAACATTAATCTAGTTAAATAATAATTACAATGATAACGAGAAACAGAATATGAGGATTTGGGGACTTCTTTTCAGTTTCCCTAATGAATTTTGGAAATTGATAATTATGAATGAGAATGATGTCATTACTGAACTCTTATTTTAGACCATTTCATGGTAGCCTATGCTTTCTGTAAATATCAGCAAGCAATATGAGCTAATGTAATTATTGAACCAAACTGTCTTTTTCGGTGAATATTATTAGTTTTATTTCAAAATAAACATTACCAAACCTCTGGTAATGCTGAACCGCTCTGCATTATCCATAGTAGAAGCTGCAATAAAATAAATAACTAAAAAAGAACTCTATCTAGCTGGATCACTCAGCTGCTGTGGTTTGAGAGATGCTGCAATCAACACCCATAAATATTTCATTCAGGAGCTTCTCAAAACATGCAAAAAATTCCGATGGTCAACTTTAGCGTTGTAGGCTAACCCCATCACTAAGGCTCTCTTTTCTGTCAGGATAGGATACAGCCGTTGGTGTCTTGAAAGGGACCCTGCGTCTCTCCCTCCATTTTTGCCAATTCTCTCTCTTTTTTCATTTTCTGAAGTAAAAATGAACCATTTTTTGCTGTGATTTAATTGGCAATGTTGATGTTGGAAAGATCAAATTTATGCCTTTCATGGTATATCTTCTGATAATTTAGTTCTTACAAGCTGTGCACTGACATGTATCATGTTCCTCTAAAAATGCTTGCAGTTCGTTGAAACTGAGATGGGATTAAAAGTGGAATCTAAATTCATTGATATGATGGGAGGTTTTGTTCCGATGGAAATGGTAATAAAAGGTACCATGCTAAGCTTTCAAGAAGAAGAAAAATCTTCTTATGTCATAAATTCAGTATTCAAGTTAGAATGCAGGTTATTGGCCTCTAACTTTTACATGCATAATCTACTATTGACAATTATTGTGGATAAACTATTCTCTTTGTACCTCTTAAATGCATTAATGAGACAGAATTGTACCAATTTGTCTTCTTTCTCATGTACTTCTTCCATGACTTATTCTCAATGGATGTTTCTCCTTTTGAAGGTGCTTTTCAGCTTATAACTGATGAGAGCAAAGCTGGGTCTTGCCTATGGATTACGAATCGGAGGGGATTGGAATATTGGCCTACTCCTGCGGAAGAGGCAAAATACTTGGTGCGCCCTTGGCAATCTAAGAAATCAGTATTATTCAAGGGCCCAGTAGACCTCCAACTTCCAGAGACTTATGAGAAATTGTGAGTAGAACGTGTGGAATCTCAAACTTCATCATCTGAAGCATTTCTCTTCAAATAGAAGCATATATTACCTTAAAGCACTGGTGTTTAGTTCATTCCTTTATGATCACCTTGTACATATCTAAATCACTTAATTACCAGAATGTCTTATTTAGACCATAATTGGCATTTTTGCGTGAGTAAATCTTGTTCTAGTTTTCTCCTTCATCTCTGGATTCTACCCAAAATCCAGCTTTTTAATCTCATGCCTTTGAAATCCTACAACAACGGTTAATGGGGAGCAGCTAAGAAAAGTGAGTACCCGGGTAAATTTGAAAGAGCTCTAGAACAATTCCGATGACATTGAGTCACACCAAATGGGAAATACTAGAGATGAGAAAGAAAGTGATTATTTTGTTCGATGCATTCACATATGGTGTATGGTTCTTTGACAAAGTTTCCTTGGGTTTCAGTTCTTCATTTTGCTTATATCTTAGGAGGATTCCAGGCTTGTAGGGTTTTCTGTCATGATAACTTATCACCAGTATTTGTCTGGTTGTGTTAATGTCAGCAAGCTCATTTTAGTTTTCTGCTTTTCAGAATTGTTCATACCTTAAGCCACAATTTCCGCAATGCTACTCGCATCGTGCGCACTCCATTGAAGTTACCGCTTGGACCACATCAAGTTCTTGTTAAAATCATATATGCTGGGGTGAATGCTAGTGATGTAAGTTGAATATGAACATTCTAACAATGTTATTACTATTTTGTATTTAAAGCATGCAAGATCCTCATGGTTCCCTTAACCGGGATGACAAGCGTTGGACTCACCCTCGGTTCCAACTATGGAGCCAACATTAGTGCAAATGGTTGATGGGAAATTTTTTATTGTTCCTAAACCTACTTATACCTGAACATCGGCGAAAGTATGAAAAATGAGCATACCACTGGATGACTAGGCCCTCCAGCTTATCTTTACTAAGCTTTGGCATGACCTGTGTACAGGTGAACTTCAGTTCAGGGCGTTATTTCTCTGGTGGCAACAATGATGTTAGCTCCATGCTTCCACTTGATGCTGGTTTTGAGGTAGCCTCCTTTGTTTTAGTGGTTGTCTATATATCGATAGCAATGCTACTCTTGAAGTCTATCACTTTCAGTTTCGAAGTTTTGCATTTCTGTGATGATTTGCTTCTCTTTTTCTTTCTCCCCTCTCCCTTCTGCACCAGGCAGTGGGCATTGTTGCGTCACTGGGAGAATCTGTTAAGGACTTGAAAGTTGGAACTCCTGCTGCTATAATGACTTTTGGAAGCTATGCTGAATTCACAGTGGTACAAGATCCTCTGCCTGAAGTTTTCAGTCATTACTATCCTTAAAACCTCAGATATTTTAGCTAAATTTGGATTTTTATATTTGATTTAGGTCTCTTCAAAACATATCCTCCCTGTACCAAGACCTGATCCAGAAGTTGTTGCAATGCTTACTTCAGGCTTAACAGCTTCAATAGCTCTGGATAAGGTAATGTATACAACCACCTAGTCATAATAACTCAAATATACATTCACTTAGTCATTTATCTGGATAAGATGCTTAATTTCTGTTTCTTCTGCCTGCCTTTTCTGTGATGGTAATTCTAGGTTGGACAGATGGAATCTGGAAAAGGGGTCCTAGTAACTGCTGCTGCTGGAGGCACTGGGCAATTCGCAGTCCAGGTTTTACACTCATCTTGTGAGATAGTAAAATTGATGATGTTTCTCTAGGTTTGGACTGCTGAACACCTTTTTGAAATTCTTGCGCAGCTTGCTAAGTTGGCTGGGAATAAAGTGGTTGCAACCTGTGGAGGTCAGGAGAAGGCGAAGCTTTTGAAAGATTTGGGAGTTGATAGAGTCATCGATTACAGAGCCGAAAACATCAAAACTGTAGGTATCCTATGTTTCCAGTTCCAGTGGCTGATTACCAACTCTAATTAGGACCAGGAAATGAAATTCGAATTCTGTGATGTTAATCCATATTCCTGTCTTTTTATCTCTGTTAATCTATGATAAAAGAAATCACTTCCATTATTTCAGGTCCTGAAAACCGAGTTCCCAAAAGGCCTCGACATTATCTATGAATCTGTTGGTGGAGACATGTTTGATTTATGCTTGAATGCTCTGGCAGTTTATGGACGACTGATTGTAATCGGAATGATCTCTAAGGTTCTTTCTCCACTTTACTTTGAACTTGAAGTCAGAAATAAAATCAATATATTGCTGCTATTATATAATAGATTGGAGTTGTATATTGATACGAAAGAAACCACTAATAGTTTAAAGGAAGTGAACTACTTATGCAAAAATGGATCAAGTATCATGTACAAGTTGTAGATTAGCAGCCCGGGTATCATATATCATGGCTTGGGCCCTAACCTGGAGCATCTAAACAAATAATCTTAAATCTCATGCTATAATTGGGGCGAAACAATGGCCTGTAACCACTTGCGGATATTAGTAGTGTTGGGAAAAGTCAACTCCATGTTCTTAGATCAGCTGCTAAACCTCATTTTTAACTTACTGATTTATTGCACCTCAGTATCAAGGAGAGCATGGATGGACTCCCTCGAATTACACCGGGCTCTGCGAGAAGATTCTAGCAAAAAGCCAGACCGTGGTATGTGTTTGTGGTGCTTGTATATATCAAACACTAGCGTCTTTCCTACTACTACATTTACAGAAGGGGTCCTAGTTCTAATCTAGTGTGTTCTTCTTTGATCTTGTTGGCTTGACAATTTTTGCAGGCTGGGTTTTTCCTGCTTAACTATGCTCACCTATGGCAAGAACACCTGGCCAAGCTGTTCGAACTTTTCTCCTCAGGAAAACTGAAGGTGATTGATTCGACACACACCCTCATCTCTCTCCCTCCCTCCCTCCCTCCCATTTATTGACACTAACACTGACTGTTTGTAGCGCAGATTTCATTAGACCCCAAAAGTTTCATCGGCGTCCACTCAGTTGCAGATGCCGTTGAGTATCTGCATTCTGGTAAAAGTGTTGGCAAGGTACGTGCCAGTGGCTGCCTATGTCCAACAAACATTGTTATTTATCGCCATTGGATACTCGGATGCGTTTCTGATGTTTTTCAACATATAACACTTGTACAGGTGGTTGTCTGCATTGATCCATCCTTCAGTCAAAAGATTGCTAAGCTATAGAAATGTTTGTGGCAGCCCCCACGCTCCAGAACTATGTTGTTTGTATACATACACGGGGACTACTGTTCTGAATAATTCTATAATGTAAGCAGACCAAAAGAGAAACATAACTGGACTATTTGTGCCGTCTTTTAAGAACGAACATTCATCTACGATAAAGTAGACGTTGAACCGTTAGCTTGATCTGGGTTGATAATCGTTATACCGTTATCAGCCAATGACAAAATCAGCAATTTGTGCTGCAGTTGTTAGCTAGCTACAGCTACGATTACAGGATGGTTAGAGTGAAACTGGCGTTGTAGTTTTACTACAGATTAAAACTCAATATCAGTCGTCACCTTGGGAAGGCTACCTTTTCTACAGCACAAAATGGATGCCTACTGTTTCCAGTGCCCAAAACAAAATCCTCATTTTCAGCTCCAAACTGGATGCTACCTTCGACCTGCATAAGATGGCACACTGCAAAAGTCAGAATCCCCAGTAAAATCACGACCCAACAAGTGCAAAGTTGTCTGTCCTGGATAGGACTAGTCCTGATTTCAAGTAAACTATTCTATTGTCTCTAGATCTTCTATCAAGGAACATGTTGAGCTGCCATAGTAGAACATTCTTGTAGTTCGACATCTAGTCAGCTCGTATTAAGCAATGCCTAGCAACGAGCTTCTCGGAGCTGCGAACAACCCGAGAAATGCAATTCTTACCTGCTCTGACTCGTTTGGAACGCCTCCTAGTGTCATCCGTATCATCGTCTTCCTCGTTCTCGTTTTCGTTCTCCGCGTCTTCTGCCTCGTCCTGCTTTCCCTCCGAATATTCTTCGTCGTCCTCCTCATCTTGGTTTTCCTTTTCTGAGTCGCCTCCATCTTCACATTGGTAGCTAAAGGTCCTGGAATGGAAGTGAGACCATCACAGAGGAACCCTCATTATCAGACTCTTACGAGAAATGAGAAGCACTTGAAATTTGTGAGTCCAGGTTTCAAGTTGCAACAAAACCTTCTTGCTTCCCATATTGGCTCCACTGGTCCCTGCCAGAAAACCCAGAAAGTAGTTTCAGTGTGTATCGATCCGAAGCTCGAATCTTGAACAGGGTAGAGACAGAGAGAGAGGGAGTAGCACTCACTTCCTTGTAGCTAACAGCGGGCTTGTCCGCTATTCGAGATGACCTCCTTGTGCCAAACCTTCTTGCTTCCATTAATGGCTCCACTGGTCTCTGCCAGAAACCCCAGAAATTTTCAGTGTATCGATCCAAATCTCAAATCATGAACAGGGTAGAGAGAGAGAGAGAGAGAGAGAGAGAGAGAGAGAGAGTAGCACTCACTTCCTTGTAGCTAACAGTGGGATTGTCCGCTATTCGAGCCGACCTCCTCGCCGGAGCCAGCACCGCCGGCCGACGAGGTCTGGGTTTCGCCTGCTTGACGGACACTTCATATTAAGCCGGCGATCTCCGTAAACGGCACAGAACAAAAAGAAGCGCCAAAGAATGTTCAAGCACTTACAGGGGAAGGTTTGGCGGAGGGATTAGATTGGGGGCGAAGATGCTTAGCGAGCTTCAGCAAGTTGAGGGCTTCCATCCTCTTCTTGTTCTCTTCCACTCTCTGCCGCCGGATTTCTTCGTAACTCGTCAGCTCCTTTTTCGATCCCACCATTGTGTAATTTCTTCTTCAGCCGAAAGATCTGAAGATGAGCCTTCTGGCGGCGGATTTCAGTCTCGCCGCTCCTTCTCGTTACGCAGCCGGCGGGAAGACCAAGTGACAGAGGAAAGGAGCGGCAAATAATGGGAAATGGCAACTGAAACGCCAAATGTTTCTGCACCTTTGTGAAATTTCAAAATTCAATGAAATTTCAAAAATCAACTGTAAATTCCCTCCAAAAAAAAATCAACAGTAAAAAAAGAAATCAAAGTTGAATTCCTGATTTTGTGTAAATGTCATCCCTGAAGTTGTTCTGACCTACATTTCGTTCCTCATTCTTTTTATTTGTACACTTCGCCCTTTCCTCATTTCAAATTTGATCAGTACGGGCTAAATGGGCATGGGCCTGGTAGTAGCAGATGAACAACATGGGCTATACTCTACATTTTTTTTTCCCGTGATTTTGAACGCTTTCATGTGCCTTTGCTAGTGAAACAAGCTAGTTCCGGTGGATCCATTTCCAAGCGATGGTCGTTTAGGGTAATCCTTCGTCTCATCTTTTGAGATAATCAGAGTCGAGAGATTACGACACATTGGTGTAAAGATTGAGAATGTTCAATCCTAAAACCATATTTTCTTCTTATTAATAGCTTATGCCAACTCCAAATCCCCTGCAATCTTCCACTTGGGAACTAGTTGCATGTTGTTCAAGAGCTCCGGAACAGACACCTTCCCTCCATACAGTCTTCAACATCTCTCCGTCCAAATCTCACTGACCACCATGTTCCAGACCAACCTCCCTAGTTCCACAACCTCCTCCACAATTTCACTTCCTTCATGCTCACTGCATTTTACAGGAGGTAGAACTTCGCACATACATGGTCATAGAAATAACGATCACCACACTTATAGCATGTTCCTCTAAGTTAGTTACTCTAACCTGCAGAGCTAGCAGAATTTGGCTTATTGGTAATTGGATACATGATGTTTAGAAAACATCTGATCAGTTGTTCATGATAGGGTTACCCCACTAGTTGACAAGATTGTTGGTGCCTTGAAACTAGAACCTATTAAATTCCTTCATCGAGCTACATTATAAGCATCTTCCAATTTCTACAACTAAAATGCATGAGCTAAGGTTCGAGGATGCATCATTGTCAATGTTGGCCTCAATTCTTCCTCCATTCCACTTATATAACTCAAAATTGAGTATTAATTGTCCAGAGTAGGATTGTAGGCCATCATTTTTTACTTAACTTCTTTGAATTGCTCCAAATAGTCCAACAATAAATCATGATGCCTCAATTTATTAAATTCACCAACTACTCCTCCATACAACCAACTGTTGAACCGTCTACACAAGAAAGCTACAAAATCCTTCCAAATTAGCTACCTACGACCTACAACCCAACCTTCAGACCATGAATCTAGCATTATCTCAAAGAAAATGGCCGCCAAACAAACTCTCTAGTCTACTGGAATTCCATAGATCTCAAACAAGTTTCCACATTTCCTAGTCCATTCGTTAGGATTATCACCAGAAAATTAAGGGAAATCAAGACAAGGAAGCTGATATTGATCGTTACCAAGAGGAGGAAGGTTATTTTTCTGCTCTGCAACTCGATTCATTTGGACCTGACCTCATGGTGGTGAAAATTGGACTCTTGGATGGGCTTCTCGAAGTATCGTTTGTGGTAGAATCACTTGGCCATCATTCTGAGTAACCACCAACCCTTTTGTGTCGACAACAACCCACTATGCGAGGTTGAATCTGGCCAATCTTCTCATGATATCTGTGAATTGAGCTTCATAATGACCTTTAATTCCATCCAATCTTGTATTCAATGTCGTGAATTATTGAAAATGTCTGTACAATTGAGTGTTTAATTCCTGAAGCTAAGTCGAATGCAGTCGATGTCAACATCTTGCCTCTATCATTTGCTCTTGAATGCTGGTCATGTTCATGCGAAATCCTTACAACTGTGTCTTTATAACAGTGGTGCGATTTGCGAAAGAAAGAATTTGTCCTATGTCTTCGTCATCATCATTCTGTCGAGGGTGAGCTCTAATACCAAGTTGCAATTCCCCAACTCAATAAGTGGATCAACTTGACGGATGGATGAAATGTCGGTGGAGATCGAGTAGTCGGAATTCGAGAAGAGAAGCACAAATGGAGGGAAACACAGGAGAGATAAAGAGAGAGAAAGAAGGGGGAAAGTTCTTATTTATGTTTATTATCGTTGCCAACAGTGACGTGTGATTATTTCGATCTGTCCTTAAGGTTTTACAGTTGTAGTCATCTCATTTGTTTACGGTTACACTAGAATCAAATTAATATGCAACTCTTCCTCTAAAATGTTACAAAGAAGGACAATTCCTTAAAAATGTGGATTACATCCTGTCATATTCCAACTTTTAGCTAAGGAACAAAGGAACCTAGAAAAGTAGAAAGCAAATCAAGCCCATCTAAGGGAAAAGAAGTAAAAAAGCAAAGATGGGTGGGAAGGGAGTTCCTTCCTTGCCTGCTTCATATTCTAAGCAAGGATTGAAAACCACACTAGAGTTCATATAAAAAAATTCGGTGGTAGGGTATTTATAGTACGATCGTGGTTCAACTATTTTATACCGGTAAAATGTAATTTTTCATAAAAATTTATTTTTGATCAAATTACTACATTAGCAAAAATAGTCTATCGTACTAGAGTAATACCAACGTTATACCGTAATAATACATGGTAACAAATAGACAAATAACAAGGAGTCTTAAAATAACAAACTAGTCAACAAAGTATCTCACTCCACCAAAAACCTATATTTTCATTTACACCAGCCGTTCTCTCCCATCCCACCCAAATCAGTAGTGTTGTACATAACTAAATATAGGTCACATCGTCCCTACTTTATCTTTGTTTTTGGGATTGGAATCTCTCATCCGACTTTTGTACATATTAATTAGTGAATCCTTCTTTCCATTGTTGTACACTGTTTTTGGATTGGAATCTCTCATGCCATTCTATTAAAATTTTCATTGAAAAAATCATCAATCATGGTTGAACCGAAATTTAGACGACCCGACATCGGTAATTGAGAAAGAAAATGTCAATTTTGTCTTCCGTTTTATTTCTCTAGGTCTCTTCAAAAGTGAAATGATTTGAATTATTTGGCTATACAAAATGCCAACAGTGACGTGTGATTATTTCGATCTAATTATATGTTCTTTTATATAGCCAAATAATTCAAATTAATGTATTAGGCTTTAATTATATAAAAGAATTCATTCTTTGTAGAGAATAAGAGATATGAGATGGGACGGGATACAGTGACAACTGACAACCCCTATGGGGTTGTCAGATTGACAACCAATGATATTTTGGGTATGAAAAAAAGGAATATATTAAATACCTTTTTTGTATTGATTATATTGGGAATTAAAAACCCATATTAAATACAATTTTTTTTTTAAATTGAAATCCTATACATTAATATCTCTATCTATCTATCTCTCTTCCTTTCTCCAGCGGCCACTCCACATTGACGAACAGACTTTTTCTCCGTCGAATTCTCTCCGTCAGACTCCATCCGGCAACCTGAAAAAATGTACCAGTGCGTTAAAAAGTGTACCAATCCATTAGTCTACTGGTAATTAATATACCAGTGCTGGTGGTAGGGGTGGGCAACGGGAAACGGGTATTTGGGTATACCCATACCTGTCCCGTTTTTATAGAGTTACGGGTACCCAAATACCCGTTATATTTATTATGGGATGGGATTTGGGATTGTAATTTCAATATTGGGTACCCGCGGGTTACCCGCTAATACCTGTTTGGGTAATTTGGGTACCCGTTATACCCAATCACATTACACCAAATTTGATTTCTAAAATCAGTTCCCAATACCCAATACACATAAACCCAGCCCAGAATCCCGAGCCCTGCCTAGCGTCCAGGCCCATCTCCTCTCACCTCTCCCTCACTCGGCGGCGGCGACTACTCGTGAGCCTGAGAGACAGAGACAGACTCTCCCTCTCTCGCGATCGCGGCTCGCAGTAGCATACCTAGAGCATAGCAAGATAAATCCCGACGCCGCCGGCCGCTCCTCTCTTCTAGATCCCTGCCCCGACACCCGTCGCCCTCGAATCCTCTTCTCTGGCTCTCCCTCTATTCCGAATCTGCATTCCGAATCCCGATGCGCCGACCACTCCTTCTCCTATTCCCCTGAGGCCGACAGCCATAGCATCTGGATTGTCATCACTTTCAGAGTACTCGTTGCGTGCTGCTGCTGAGCTACCCAGTTCTCATCAGCTTTCAAACTTCTTCTTGTGGACATTGGGGTTTTTTTTATTTGTGGCCAATGGGTATGGGTTCTTATTATGGACAGTGGGGGTTCTTTTTCATTTGTGAGCAGTGAGTGACTGTCGATTATGGAAATGGACAGCTAATTTTTTTTTTTCATTTGTGGAAAGCAGATCAGCGGGTTTTAACGGGTATAAACGGGTAACCGTTATCCGTCCCGTAGGGTACCCATTACCCGTATGGGTTCGAGACTTGGGATAGACTTTACTCTCCAAACGGGATTGGGTACCCGTTTCAAACGGGACGGGTATCCCGTCCCGTTGTCCACCCCTAGCTAGTGGTAAGCTACCAGTGCGTTAAAAAATGTACCAGTGCTAGTGGTACGCTACCAGTACAGCGCTACCACTACCATATTGTATCGTACCACTAGCACCGGTAGCACTACCAGTGCTAGTGGTATGCTACCAATGCTAATGATAGCGTACCACTAGCATTGGTAGCGGTACCAGTAGAGAATAACACAAAAAAATAGATGGTAGTGGTACCAGATGATAGTGGTAGGTACCACTATCACTGATACGCTACCAGAAGAAAAATGGTACCACTAAAAAACCAGATCTAGAAAAGGGGAGTCGGTGACGGGAGAGAGAGGTAGGGGAAGAGGGTGACCTCGCGACGTCGACAATGGTGGGAGACGAAGGGCCGCGAGAGGGCTCCCACGGGGAGAGGATGATTGTGCCGCGGTGGTCGGAGGGGACATTGCGACGGCATGGGGTGGAGGGAAACTGAGGATTGCGGAGACGACGGTGGTAAAGGGCTGCTGCGGGAGACAGGGGTGGCGGCGCCGGCTGTGGAGGGCTGTTGTG